AGGAAGGAAGGAAGGAAGGAAGGAAGGAAGGAAGGAAGGAGGATGGGCTTTGGTGCAAAAGGGTGGCAAAGTTCCCAGACTTTGAGGCAGAATATTTGGGCAGAAATCTCTCTCACCTCTTTTTCTCAGCAAGGCCTACACCACAGGGCTGTGATGAGGCTAAAACGGAGGCGAACGAAGCCATCCGCCTGGATACTTACTCAGGCAGCTGTGGCCGTAATGGACCAGGAAATCGGCTCCCAGGGCCCGGGCGGTGAAATCATCCACGCAACACGCTCCGTAGGTCACGTCGCCCATCACCACGGCCTCCGCCCCCGTGAACCTGGATGGGGAGAGGACGACACAGGTGTGCAGACCAGCGGAGCTTCCCGGCGGCTTCCACAGCTGGGGCGCTGGGACCCCAAAGCCTGGGTCCAAGTCTCCCCACACCTGGCCACCCTCTCCTGACTGGGGACCCTGGGCCAGACCGGCCACCCCTCAGACTCGGTTTCCCAGATGGCAAGTGGGGGCGGCCCTCCACCTCCGGCCTCTCTGTGGGGTTTCCTTGCAGAAGGAAAGCTACAAAAGGGCCACAGGATGGAGTGGAGGAGGTTGTGGGGGGGGGGGAGGACAACCCCTCCCAGGCCTTAAGGGAGAGGTGACCCCTTCCCAGAGGGGAGGGGGAAAACTGACTGCCCCCTTTGCCATGGGGAGGACTTAGCTTGAGGACTGACCCCAACCAGGCCCATTCTCTCACTCTCAATTCCCCCCCCCCAAGAAAAGGAACCCAACTCTTGGCTTTAGCACCGGCTATTCCGGAGATGTCAACATGATTAACTGGGAGGGCACTTAATCCACTCTTCAATTGGAGAAAGCTGTTTGCAATTCGGAGGATTAAGGCGCTCATCAAAAATACGCGCCTGGCTTCCTAATGCTGCATGCCAGCCGATCGTAGGACCAGGCGGGCCAGTCTGGAAGCAAGGAGGCATTACCTGAGGGAGGGGAAAGGGGGGCTGCCAGGGCAGAGAAAGGCCATGGGGGGGGGAGAGAAGGCGAGAGGATCGGGTGCTTAGAGCGCAAGGGGTGGAAGGTCCTGCTCCACCGGCCAAGAGCGGCTTTAAATACATTCATCAGACTGAAACCATCTAACGATGTCAAGTGGCCGACGCCTCAAAGGGGCGCTGGTGACCGGACCCTCCGTCTCTCAAGTTCCTCCCCTCCTCGCCACCCTGGTGCCGTGGCATTCCTGTGCCCCCAGAGGCACCTCTGGCCGAATGAGGAGTTCTGTGTGGCTTCCAAGCTTGCGCTGCTGTTTCCATGACTTGTTGGCTCAACCAAAGAGTAACGATGAACTAGCTTCTCCTCTTTTTCCTATTCCCGGTCTCCAGCTTTTCAAACACATTTCCTGATGAAGGGATCTCGAGATCCCAAAAGCTGGCATTCCTAAGGGTGCCCTTTGCGGTCTGCGAATATGAAGGTTTGGAAAAAAAACAAGTTTTCCAACCTGGGAGAACCGCCGTCCATGTACTGCCTTTTTAATCTGGGCACAGACAGTCCTCCGAATGGCTCTCTGCCTGCATCTCAGCCTGGAGACGCCTCATAAACTGCCAGTCAGGACGAGAGGGGACAGCGGCAAACGTCTGCTGTCAGGTCCAAATGACGCGGCGGGCTCTGATCCGGGGGTCTCGCTCGAGCACCTGCCGCCTAGACCATCCTCCAGAGAAGCCAGAGGGGGAAAAAACACCACCACCCTGTTTCCGCCGCCGCCGCTGCCAGAGCTGGGAGGCCTCATGGATTCTGACCGGGGCAACCGACGCAGGTGCCAGGGCTCCTGGGGTGCCACCCGCCCCCGCCCTCCCCCCCGGGAGA